TGTCAAAAATATTCTAATGACAATTCAATCATCATAACATCAGTAACAATAATAACAGCATCGAAAGCAATGATATTAATTTTCCCGCCAATTCAATGAATGGGAAAATCAGGGTCGGTAACTAGGGCCTACTGATAGACTCCTTGCCGGCTGAGTACATGTGGAGCCATCTGTAGGTAGCAAAATTCACCAAAACCAAAAGGGGACAGAACATAAATCCGTGGCCAATGGGTTACAAATATCTACAAATATATATAATATATATATATATAAATTATTATATATATATATTGCATATATATATATATATATATATTTGTAGATATATTGAATATATATATATATATATATATATATATATATATGTGTGTGTGTGTGTGTGTGTGTGTGTGTGTGTGTGTGTGTGTGTGTGTGCGTGTGTGTGTGTATGCATATATATATATTTATTTATGTATAGATATGTATATTTGTATATATATGTACATACATGTATATGTGTAAAAAAATCTATATATATGTAAGTATATATATGCGCATATATCTATATATCTACATATGTATACACACACACACACATATATATTTATACATATAATTACATATATATACACAAACGCACACACACACACACATATATATATTTATACATATATTTACATATATATACACAAACGCACACACACACTACACACACACACACACACACACACACACACACACACACACACACACACACACACACACATATATATATATATATATATACACACAAAAACACACACACCCTCTCTCTCTCTCTTTTATCTCTCCTGAACAACCCGTAGGCAGTTCCAAATGCAGACTTATTGTATTCACTAGAATTACCCGTGAACGAGGCAGTTCCTAAGGATATGCAAATAGAAAAAAAATCGCGGGTAAGAAGCGGCTTTTGAGGGTAGAGGCAGACGGCGTTCAGTTTTCGAGGGGCGGCGCGCGGCTTGCCACGCTGCCCAAGTGCCTCGTAGGTACGACTAACAGTGTGGTAAAGAGGTACAGTTAATGTAGCTAATACTTTATTTTTCAGATTGCGCTTATTCATATTTACTTTTATGTTTGCGTGTTTCTTTCTTGGTTAAGGAGCAAGTTTTATCAAATATTTGAATACATTTTTTTTGTGCGGGTTACGGTTATTGCTCCGTTCCGTTATTGTATGAATTCAGTGTTCCTGGAAATGAGTGTAATTGCAAAGATTTGTTTATTTCGAGGAAGGATTAGACGCGAAAATTAAATTTTTATTAATTCGATTAATTTATTTCGTGGTCTGTCTTGTGTGGATGTATGAATATATTATGTATGTGTATATATAACTATAGAAAAGTTTGTTCAATATAACGAGAATTGGTAAAAGCTGTACACGAAACTCGAGCGGTATTTCATGAAAAACGTTACAAATAGCATTAATGTCCGAGTAGAATGTCTGAGCTATCCAAATTTGACGAAATATTTTATTCGAAAATCTGAAGGTTACAGAGCTCGAGTAATTCCTTCGATACGAAAAATTGTTGCTTCACGGAGCTTCGAACGCGTCGAGGCCCCAAGCGAGGCTCCGCCGCCGCCTCAGCCGCTTCACCGACAAAGGCCTGTGCTTTCGGGTAGTTTTTCTGCGAAAATCTGTTTTCTCCGTTCGAAATCCGTGTCTGTAAGTGTTTTAGGTGGAACGTGGTGTCTTGTGTACGTCAGTAAATCCAGCACAGGTTCCCAGAGTTCTCACAGGCAGGGGTAAGAGGAGTAGAGCGTGTAAGGAGGCTAGCCCCAAGGAAAGCCGGTTCCAAGGCCAAGGTTGAGTGGCCGCGGCGGATAAGGTCACATTTAAGCCTTCAAAAGCTTTTTATTCGGGCGGATTGTGTAAATCGGTGAAATAGGCTGTCCGAGGTATTTTTTGATAGGTGTTTAATGTCGAATGATATGCAGGTTAATGGTGTCTTCTTCGATCACTGAACTTGCCCGAGTTAAAACGAGTGCTTGTGCGATACAGTGTTCATGGTGAAGGAAGTGCAAGCATAACAAGCGTCATGTTCAGTGTTCTGATGTAAAAAAAAAAAAAAAAAAATGTGAAAGTTTACTTAAGTATTTATGAAATCTCATGGAAGGTATGTGAATTTGAAGTTATGCAGCAATTGCAGAATTTGCCCTTTCTCAGGTGATTTTTGTCTTCCAGTCTTGCAGTAAATATTCCAAATTTCAGTTACCAATGCTGTAATATGCCCAAGTATTTTTTAAAAATTTCCATCAAATTATGTAAATGATGGTATTGGTAAGGTTTACAAGGTGACCACGCACCTCAGGTAAAGTCTGTAGATTTCCCAGAAACAGCTGTAGTAACAAACTTGGCTATGTGAACCAAAAACCTTCCGAACTGAGGGCTTTGCCCCAGAACCCCCATCTAATTACTGTATTTTCCTTTTTAGGGCTCTGCCCTGATCCACCTGATCATGGTGGACTAGGTATATGTTCATTTCTGATGTTATTTCATGTATTATTGAGTAGTCTATTATAGTACCATTACTTTTTCTCCCAAAGTAAGACCACTTTCTTTGTATTGGCTTGAAGGTAGTACAGTAAAGGTCTTTTTTTTGGTAATTTTGTTCATTACCAAGTTTTACGGTCTTCTACACGTGGGGAAACAAACTGTACATTTTAGTGCATGAAAAATGGAAAAACTTTTAATTTAACACAAGTACTTTATTTATTCCAGTTATTCTGTAATGTGTGCAAGTAATTTAAAAAGTTTGCTAATGTGATAACTTTTATTTCCAGTTATTCAGTGTAATATGTAAGCAATTAATATTCATATTTACAGCATGTGCAAGTAATTTTTTTGTTGTTTCATACTATACAATTAATAAGTCTATTTTCCACTACAAATTCCTGTTTTAGGAAGCAAGTGCTTTTATTGGTAATGTTCATAAAGTGGCCCGAGACCAGCTGGCCAGGTATCCTCCAACATCCCCATTTGAACCCAATCCCTTCCTAACCTGGGCTCCGTCCCTGGAATCCCACCCAGTTATGGTCTGCATGTGGTATTTGTCACGACCTATTAGTTTGTGACTGTTTTTTGCCTGGTCAGATTTTGTGCATCGGTCTAAGTTTTTTGTGTAAGTGGATCTTCCCAGTGTAAGAGCAGGTGCTGTGTATATATGTATTAAAGTGTTCCATGTTGTAACTGCTCCACTATGTAGATTTAACTACTTGGTTAATTAATTTTGAGCGGTTACTTTATCATTTCCTAGAACTATGATCATGTTTCCCTGGTGATATTTCTCGCTTGTATATTCTTTTATACTTGGTTCTCCTTCAAGAAATGATCACAAGGGCCTGGAATTAATACACAGGGTGGAATGGGTAATGAAACTCTTATATTCCACCACTCTAATATTATGATGGTATAGTTCACTATTTACTTCAATATTCTAAAAGGAATTTGCATAATTACTACCATGCCCATGGCATGGAAGGAACCCTATAACGTGTCTATTTGTTTGTTTGGTAGGACTATGGAATAATTTTTAAGTCCATGACGGTGTTTTTCAGGAAATGGCATGGATAGGTCTATAAATTTATTCTATCCAATATGAGCAAAGTTTACCTCATCCCATATATCTGTTTGAAAATGAAACCATTCTGCTTATTTTGGGGGCATTGACTGAAGCAGTTGAGAGCTAGCCCTTGCATTGGAAGCGATTTCTGTATTGGTCTATAGTTTTATCGTATAACCAGTCTAGGTTCAATTTTGGTGGAATATATGTAGTTTATGTGACTTTTATGCTTTAGCACAGGGAGGTGTGGAGACCATTATTATCGCTGTGCTGGTGAGCACCTGTAAAGGTTCATTTGCATTAGGTGAAAATTGTCTGCATTTATAGATTCTCAATGTCTCACAGGTCCCTCAATCCTATGGCAAGGTAAGATTTTTGGAGGCTGTAACAAAGGTTTCTACAGAAAATGAGTCCTGAATAATGTAGCAGCATTTTTTATCTACAGGTCTTGAGAAACTTCATCTATAAAATGAAAGTTTTTGAGAGATTAAAGGCAGTGTGATTGGAAATAAGATTGTTTATTGCTTTAAAGAAAAGGAAGTATTGTAAAGGAAAAAAAAAATGGAAGATGGCAGTAGTTATGCTGTTTTTTTTTTCAGCCTTGTGGCACATTGGTGTGTAAGACGACAAAGATTTTACCTGTTTAGTGTACAATCCTGTCAGAGCTTTGACTTCTCCTCCTCTCCTTTAGGTCACATCAATTTGAGTTTTCTTGTCCATTTGGGTGTAATATGCATTTATTTCCCAATTAGAATGTATTATGGGGAAAATCTATAATTCACTTTACAGTGTAAGCATTCTTTATGGTTTCTGAATGAGGAATGTTATTTCACAGGTGACAGAGGTTTGTGGATTATCCTGAATTGCTTCATAAGTCTTCTTCTAAACACAAGTTGTATACTTATACTTAAGAAATGTTAGTGAACCTCGCTTGATGTGTAACCCTTTTATTTACTGTGGTTGAAAATGCAAGGTAAAAAATGGAAAAGGCCTAAAACGAGATTGGGGTGGATCCATTTGCTCTGGGGAAATTTTGGCTGTTTTCTAAGTGTTACCTTCCAGGCTGCAGTGTCGTCGTATTATGGTGATGCAGAACAAAGTTTATTTTATAAAGATTGCTTTTACATTCTTTCAGGATCTTTTGCTCTTACATTTTTTTTCAGGATTTGCAGGTCTGTTGACTGCTGTAAGAAACCAGAAATTAGAAAAGGCAGTAATTTAGAAATTCTAGTTACTTGTACTTTAGAAATTTTGTATTTTGTATGCATAGTATGTAGTATTGGATATAGATGCATGTATGAGTAGCAGTAATTAGATGTCCATGAGTAATCATTGAATACTGCATGGTTAAGTTCATAGATATGATAGCCTGAATAACACTACTAATATCTACTCCCATAGTAACCTTGCTTTCAGTAATTATGA